CCATATAAACCATACGTCTCCGATCCCGGAGTCCCCAGCAGGAAGTGGTTAACCGCCTGAAGTTATCTGTAAACACACATAATTTTCGTCATTTGTTCCACGGATGACTTGTAAACTTATTTAAGAATTCTTTTTTCATTTCCGTGGTTGACGTATTAATGCGTCGTACTTGGTTGGGTCAAAGTGCAATTGCAAGGTTGAAGAATTTGCAGGTAAAAAACCAGCCCCCAGCATCTTTTTTGGATATTTAGAAAATCTGACGTAAACTGGTTAATTTGAAGGTCTTTTCTGTCTTGCCAATGTGATGACATTATAATTTGACCTTTTGCAGCTATAACATGCCCTCCACTGCCTGCTCCAGAAAACGGTAGAATTGTGGGAAATACTCCATGCTCTACAGCCTATGGCTCTTGGTGTGAGTTTGAGTGTCATGACGGCTATCAGCTCGCAGGGAGTGGAGTCCGTCGCTGTCTGGCAGTGGCTGGAGCAGCTAAGGGCTACTGGGATGGCAATAAGGCTCGCTGTGGAGGTAACATAGGCTCACCAACATAGACTGAAATTTTTGGCAGCGTGGATCTGAGGGGCCAAGACATTACACACGTGAATAAATTCCTATGTACATGTATAGTGCCCAATATGATACTATACCAGGGCTCAAAATTAACGGGTGCAGGTAGCTAAAATGCACCCGTTTGTCTCAGAAATGTGCCCGTAAATCATAATGATGGGCGCAAGTACTTACGCCCGTTTGATTCCATGTACCTGAACATTTGTTTCTACTTTTGTTATAAAAAATACCTGAACATTTTGACTTCGCTTCGGATCAGCCTTTTCACGGAACCATAACACGGTACAATTTTGTTTACCATGTCAACGAGCGCACACCGCAGTCTTGCATGCGATGCATGCGCACATATGAACGTACACACACACGCATACCCACGGCCAGTGTCACGATTGTATGGAAATTCAAGCCAAATGAATGGATTCAGCTTAGACTTCAGTTTCGCTGGTTCCAGTCATAGCTTGAACATGTGGTTTTGAACCAAGCTCCAAAATAGCTGGAACCAGGGAAACCAAAGTCTCAGCCTGATCCACTCATTTCAAAAACGCTTGATTGCTGCAGTTAGTTCCCTTTTATGTCTGTGTGCATATGCACGTTATAAAGGCCCAGTGCCCAACTTTTTGCGTAGCGTTGCTAAGCACATGTTTGAGGTTCAGGTTGGTCACGTAGTCACTACTAGTTGTACGTCGCATGCAACCGGCAAAAAAAAACAACTCGATCAAGGTTTTAATATCTGCCAAAGACTAAGCTGTACATTATCAGTGTCATTAATTTAGACAAAAGCAACAGCAAGGACCAGGGTCTTTGCTTTTTTTTTTCTTTAACATACTTTATGTCTTTAATATTGTATGCAGGCATGCAACGTTTCCGCGGATCCACGGATTTCTGGACTTTTAAAAATCCCTCCGCACAAAAATAATATCCACGTTTCGGGCTTGTTTATATTTTTGCTATTTTCCACTTTTCGGTACACATTAATGAGCACAAAAACCTTGTCTGGCCCCTTGTTTTGTGCACACGTTAAATGCACTGAAAAGTGCAGGACACAGACTCAGCGCCCGTACATGCAGCGCCCTCTGTTGATGACAAGCCAGTAGTCCGGTGCCGCATTTTTTCCTGATGTTAATAAATTCGTCGTTATATGGACACTGTACCGCTTCCGCGGCTAGCCGCAAACGTTGAAAAAACGCAGTTTTCAATGTGCATTGTGATCATTGATCACCCACGCATCAAAACTCAAAATGACTTCCAAAAGGAAGGATATCAGATCAATGAGCCACTCACTGCACAGCACCCACTTCAACATTCCAAGACCCCAACGTCCAAAACAAGAGCACTAGAGGTTGCAGCGAAGGTCGCTAAGAGAGCCAGATTAAATCACATGGAAAGGGTGAAAACATCCAAAAGATCCATGTCACAGATTTATTTCACAGAATGTACCTCTCATAATAAAAAGTTCAAAAAGAATCACAAATAAGAAGCATTTTGTGTATTTTTAATGTAAAGTATGCCATAAAAAGCTTTACATCTTTCACTCAAATTTCACTTCAACTGGGGCCAAAAACTGCATAGAATGCACCACAGAGCATGTAAAATTCAAAATTTTCCAGGGCCCTAAGGCGGGCCCGGACCCCACGCTGAATTGGCTTCATGCTGCGGGCATGCAGTTTTGTATGCAAGAATATATTCCTCGTTTTTCAATTCAAGAGTTACTGCCTGCTATGGGAGCTACTCGCCCCCCGTAAAGTGGCAAATTCAGCTGTCTAGGGAACAAGTAACTTGCTCCTGTGATGATTAGCCCAATTTCAAGCCCTGTATACTTAAAATTTGTGACTGTGTGCACCCTTACATGATGCAAACGGTGAAACTCAGAGTCTAAATATAGCAATGCAATGATCCCAAATAATTTCTTTGGGTCACTCACTGTCTCTTGGGCATGTAGATGTACACTCATGACCTCCTTTTCAGTTCATGTGTGTATAATAGAGATGTCATCTGGTCAACCACAAGTCAAATCACAGATGAAACAAATGTCAAGTCAAATCACTAGTCAATCAGTCAAATCACAAATTTACATTTCAAGTAAACCTCAAGTTAAATTACGAATCAATTACAAGTCAAATCACAGGTCAGTCACTGATCAATTACAAGTCAACTGTAATCAAATCACAATCACACGTCAAATGAAAAGTTAGCCTCAGGTCCAGATACAAGTCCATTAAAAGTCAATCAGAAGTCAGCCAGAAATCTGTCACAAGTCAAATCACAGATCAATCAAAAGTCACATCACAAGTCGATTTCTGATAGAACATAAGTCTGTCACACATGACAGAGTGAACAGGCCTTTGTCAAAAGTCCATTAGAATGGCTTGTTACTTGACTGAATGATTTATGATCAAAGATCTATTTGGATGGCTTTTGACATTCAGAATGAATTATGATACGATCAATATCACGGTCTTTGGCATTTTATTTATCTGGACTTTCTGATTTTGGTACATCTTTGGATAAGTTCAGTCAGGTAAGAATGTGTATTTGTGCGTGAAGGTTGTGAAAATGAAATCAACTTTGCAGCCAAGCAATTGCTTCATCATGCATTAGTAAATTTCCAAAGAATTTCCAAGGGAGAAGGAAGTAAAGAAACATTGAACACTGATGTGTGGTACCTTAATACGTGTGTACTAACAGCTGTTAATATTTCCATTGTTGAGGATGTCATATTTGATGTAGTCAAGCCCCCTTTTTACTTTCCCTCTGTATTCAGAGCAAACTTGTCCACGAGTCTACATCCCTCCTAATGCCAACATCACCAACCAGGATGAATGTCCAGCCACTGGCCAGATCCCAGCAGGGACCACCTGCTGTTTTGCTTGCCAACCAGGCCACGTGCTGACTGGGTCTACAGAGGTCTCTTGTGGGATGGATGGAAACTGGAATACCACCTTCCCCTACTGTGAAGGTACATGTAATGTAGTTTAGCTGAGGGCAAATAATGAAACTTGGGATTAAGTTTTACTTAAAATGATCAGATCCCCATAAAAATTTAGAATTTAATAATCAGGCATGCTTGAATAAATTCCCTTTTCAAGCTTTAATCTGAAAATTGATTGTTGTCTAAGAATTGAGCAATCAATGTTTTTGATAATTGAGTACAGTCAGGTGGCATCAAGTAGCATTTAGGTTAATGCATTTTGACATGCCTTGTTTTTATTTACACTGCCTGCAGTTATCACCTGTGACAGCAGTGAGTTGCCTGCACCGCAGAATGGAATTAAAAATGGCTGCCCCCATGCTGAGGAAATCTACGGCACAGTGTGCACACTGATTTGTGACCTGGGTTTCATGCCGACCAAGCCCACCTCTGTAACCTGCGGTGATGACGGGAATGGAGGGGGGACATGGGATAAAAACACTATCACATGTGAAGGTACGGTCGGGTTGGTCTGATGTTCAATTTGCAATCAGCCACTTGGCAATCACCCCAGGAAACTTGTAAAGCAAAAAGCCATCATAGTGGACCAAGTATCTCCTGCTTTAGGTACCTGGGGGATTGTAGTACAAGCATCCACCCTGAATGGGAACAAGTTAGGGCATGTTTTATGTTGAAAAAACTGTCCATTGGTGGGAGTTCACTGTGTAAACTCTGCAGGTTTATGGGCATTGGGTTGGGGCATGCTGAGTAGTTTTCTGATATGGCTTTGTGGGGAGTGTAACATGGAATTTGTATACCCAACCCAAAATTTATGGGAATGTGCTCCAATCCGTTTGCGTATTCAGGTTTTGGGTCGGGGGGCAAAATTAGATTGTTTTCTCGAAACAAATTTTTCTCATCCACAAAAAAATGTTAGCCCTGTCAATTAAAAACAAACAAACAGACAAACAAATTGGCGACTTATATCCAGGATTGCAAATAAATTAGTTGAACAAGATTGCTGGAAATTTGTAATTTGGTTGATTTGTTTCCACTTTATCTCTCAAAGATGTGTACAAATGGGAATAAATGTATGTGCTTTGCCAGTCTGAAACATTTTAGTGGCTTTCGGAGAATGGATACCTTTGGCTCAGACCCTCTGCTCAGGCCATTATCAGTTTCGGCTGATTCAGTCTTAAACAGCCAAGTGCCTGTTTAGTTCCTCAGGAATATTCCTTTTGCCCTTCATTGAGCTCATTATCTGATACTACTAATTAACTGGAACCAAGCAAATTCCAGCTCTGCAATCTTAAAGCACTTGCCTGTTGTCCAGGTGTCATATTGCATCTCTCATCCAAATTTGCCTGGCTGTGCTTTGCAGAGGTCAAATGTAATCCACTGGATGTCCCTGGTACTCTAGGCTACATGCCACTGTCATGCACGCTGGACGGAGTGGCGGTTAATGACACAGATCAGATGCAGATTTATGGCACTATCTGTATGGCAGCATGTGACGTGGGATTCATCAGTAGTGGCTCATGGAATCGTACGTGTCAGTCTTACGGCCAATGGGATGGTGCTTCACTGAATTGCAGTGGTAGGTACTCTTCATGAGCGTAGATATAGGGTTCTAGACTACAGTTGTGGTTCTTTGCCATCCCGACTTTCTTTATTGGATGTATGTTGAACTTCAAGCAGCACTGCTCATGTGCTCAGTGTTATCAGAGGTAGAGTCAGGTTTAGCTCAGGGAAAGGCTCAACAGGTGTCTTTTAAACCTAGGTTTTTCTCTTATTTTCGTATTTTTGGCAGTAGATGATGAGGGGTTGAATCTCCTAACCCCCTCTTTATCCATCACAGTTACCCCTGTTTGCGCTGAGCTTTACTTGCAAGGAGGCAAAATGTTTCCCCCTTTTGCTTTTGTGTCAAAAGTGTCCTGTTTTATATGTATCAAGGGGGAATTTCTGGCAGTTGGCAGACAAGTTTCCTTTCACTTCAGGCTTTTCTCACACAGGACTTGAATGACTTGCAACTTTTTCCCTTCTATCACTGTAAAATGACGCATTGTAGCCCCCATTTTTAGAGGCTTACTCAACCTGTTGATCTCACAGTGAGCTGACATAACTGCCTTTTTCCAAATTTGTCAGATAAAACCCCACCCACTGTGATGTGCCCTCCAGACATCACGCTGTTTGCAGTGCAGGGGACCAGCTATACAGACAATGGCTATGGCTGGGAACCAATTCGGGTAATGGATGCGACCTTTTGCTGTTGAAAATACAGTGTTCAACAATCACAGAAGTGTCTCAGTATATTCGTTTGCTAACTTTGTTGATTTCATGCCAGATTTCCTTTTCTGCATTTAAGTTCCCTGGAATATTTTGTTGCACATACATGTATATATCTTGGAAAATTTGATTTTTAAAAAAGCAACGTCCAGGCTATGTCATCCAAAATATTTTTTCTTGCACACAGAGTTTGAAGTCCAACACACAGAGGGATTTAAGTGGCCAATGTTTTTAAAACCGTAGTTTTTACAAAAAATTCTGTATGGCCTAAAATGGCTACTTGCAAACATACACAGAGAAATATGTCTTAATTTCTCAAACAGATCTTATTTGTCTTGGATAAAACACATGAAAAACTTCACTTTTGTACTTCTTTAGCTCTGTCCTTGTCTGAAACCAGTGGGTTTGTAAGCTCCTGGTAGACGAATTCAACAGAACTCGAGGGACTCTTAGTCTGACATAAAACAAATTCAGAGAATTTTTCTGCATAGTACACAAGTGCATTACACTCCCGCATGAATTCTTTGTGGCAAGTTATGAGAGACTTTTAGTCCTTGAGGTATTGACAACATCATCTGGGTATGATTCTATCACAGTGTAAGCCTTAAAGGGGTCCCTACAATGCATTCATTTTACTACGGCCCTTAAAATGAAATTGGGTTTCAATTATCCCTATTTTCAATTATTGTATGAATGTTTTATAACTTTGTTGTCATCTTTGGGAGAAAACCACAACCTTGCATTGATTTGTGGAATTTTGACATTTAGCTGTCCTTAATGTCCTTTTCTTAGGTAGTTCATTGTGTTAGTCAACAAGCAAATCTTTAACAAAACTGTACACTGTCTTCATGATAACAGTGCTGTCAGTTGTCCGGGAAAGCTTAGACAATTTTAATTGATTAAAAAGTGCACTTTTGTAACTTAGTTTTCATTCATTGATGACTAGTATGATTACGCCCCAAAAAGTGTGTCTAAGAAAACTGCTTTGCAGGGCCCCTTTGCATTCTTGATTAGTGCTTTCCAAACATATCTGTGTAGTACTAACATTGTTGTATGCATTCGCCAACCTGTCAGGCCATGGACGCCAGTGGTAACCTCACTGCCAGACTGAATACCATCAATGGACAGCCAGCGCCGGCCAATAGGAGCTCTCTATTCTATGAAGGGACCTATCGGCTGGTCTATACTGCCAAGGATAGCAGCAGTAACATAGCATCCTGTGACTTCAGTGTGAACGTCCTAGGTAACAACAATAAGTACATGGAGGATGATTTGTGTTACTTGTCAGTCTGATTCAATTCAAACTAGAGAATATTTGGAAAGTTGGCCTTCCATTCCAAATCGGTCGTACTACATCTCCACAACAGCCAAATCAACATAAGCATGCTTTTGGTATTGGTCTTCCTCATTGAGTTTCAGGACAGGAGCCTGTCCTCTTCTTGAATTAGGAGGCTTGGAGTCCAAATGATGTTTGGTCCCATTTGGTGTTTTATTCCCATTAGTCCCTAGCAAGATCACACACCACAAAAAGTGAAGAACTGAAACAGGAAGACAATGTTATTTTTTGGCCTTTACATTTAAGTTCACTTCTGATATCTTGAAATGTGCTTTTAGCGAGCAGTTTTGTTTACAAATACTTGATTTTTTTCCTCTGGTAATTCAATGATTTCACCACCAAATACTTTGTTCGGCAAGCAATCAGATATCCAATTATTTGAATACTTGGCATAGCCCCAGTTGCTTGATTGTTTGCCACCTGAGTTATCCTTTCGCCTTCATGAATTACTTGTGAAATTGGTCAGCACACACATGTACATGTAGATTATCGGTTCCTATCAAGGTTCCTCTTGCAGTAGCAATATGTTTTCTCCAAAAATGTTTGTGAAACTGCTGCAGCTTCACATGTTCATCATCATTCTGTGGCTGGGATTGAATTTCTGAAGGATTCTAAAAGTTTTCAAAGTAAGAAAGAGAAACAAAGTTCCTGCAGTTCGAAATGTATTGGTCAGGTTCTCTTTACTGCATACATTGAATCATGCGTGATTTTCGGTCTTGAGACAGTGTGTGATTATTTTCGTCTCCTCATTTTATTTGTGCTGCAGTCACCCGTTGCCCACCACTGCCCAGTCCCCGGAACAGTGAGACCATTTTAGTGTCTGGCCAAGGGACGTGTCACAACTCTGCCGTATATGGCTCTGTGTGCAGCATAAGCTGTGATGTAGGTTACACACTGTCAGATGGTAGCCAAGAAGTCACAGTTGAATGTGTCAAGAACACAGCATCATCAACAGTTGGTTACTGGCAGGGCCCAGTGGTAGAGTGCGTCCGTAAGTATCTTCAACCTGCCTGATTTAGGCCCGGAGTAACAAAAATTATTTAAAATTTGTACTCTTCAAGGTCTTCTTTAATGGGAGCTTTTACTCCAGAGAAATGTTTTTCTGTACAAATGTTTTCTTGTGCACAAACCACTTCCTGCCGGGGACTCGGGGATTGGAGACGTATGGTTAATATGGGTGGCCGGGGTCTCTGAACTCGGACAAAGGAAACAGGGCCCTGTAACAAAAGACCGTACTCCAAACAAAAGACCAGGCTGCTGGGCATTACCGACATTTTTCACTCTCAAAAGTGGTGATAATCCAGCCGTGTTTTGAAATTTTGGATTACCACCGGGGACAAAAGCGCTCTACCACCGCAGCGATGAGCCGCACAGCAACGCTGCACGCTAATCTGGTCCCTATTGAAAAGAGGTCATCAGTGCACTAATCCAGGTTCGTGAACAAAAGATAGTTATACAACACC